TCCCATTCCCCCGTTAGTGCCGAAGACCAGCGGCGTGAACGAACTGTTCTCCACCTCGACAATTCTTTCCAGATACTTTCTTTTTGTCTCGTTTTCTTGTGATTTGAAGATTTCAGTTGTAGCCTTGGTGCCATGTGAGGTCACCCGAACGTCAAAAAACGTAGTCTGTCCAGTCTCCCAAAAGTCACTAGCTTTGATGTCTAGCCTCGCGTCATCTTCAGTTGATGTGGTTTGTAATCTGAATACTTCGTTATCAATTTTTGTCAGTTGTGGTTCGACTTCCACATTGTTGCATACCCTTGTTAGCAACCCTGCAAGAAGGTTCCGAAGTTTGTCAAGCCTCGCGGATATGAAACTACCTTTTTTACAGCACAGGGCATGGTCAACGGAAAAAGTTTTTCCGCATGGGCCATTGCGGGGGATATTTTGTAGGGGAATATTGTATCGTAACCTCAGCGAGTCCCGAAATTCGGTTTTTGAGAGGTTCATTCCTTGGCTTTTTAGAGGTAGGGCGGTTAGCCAGGTACTAGCTCTCTTGTCTGTGTTTTGTTTCCACTTCCTTTTTTCTTCGGTGGTAAATGATTGTGAAACTGCTTCTTCTAATTCTTTCTCTCTTTCGCGTTTCCGAGTTGCTATTTGTTTTCTTCCGCCGCTATACTCGAGAGTGGTATCCGAAAGCTGGTCAATGATGGCTTGCTTATGGGGCTTTGAGAAGATTTTTGAGTTTTCATTTTGAAATCTTGCTTCTTCTTTTAGCGCTCCGAAACCAAGACCGCCTTTGCTTACTGGTAACCCAATAAGACCCGTGGGGACTCAGACCCGAAGAGCGCTGGAATAAGTTTGTTCTCCAGAACACACTCTATTGGTTCAGGTATAGTCCGAAAGAAGTATGTAAACTTTGACTTAAATCCTTTGCTAAACGCAGAGAATGCTGCATGTGGTTGTGAAACGGCGAACCCACTCAACACGTTCAATTCCTTAGCCCATATTTCAATTTTATCTTTGCAGTAAGCAGTCTTGAAATCTTGAGTCCCAAGTGCTGCACCCAAGTGCCTTTTGCCGGCTGTAGTGACATTTATTGTTCCATTAAACATCACTTTTGCCTTTTCACTCAGACTCTCCGATTTCACTACCAGTCAGCATTTCAGTTTGTTAGCAAAATAACCGTCTTTCTTTCCTTCTTCAATTAGTTTCCCGTACCACTTCCATAAGTTCGCGATGCTTCCGCATCCGGTGGCGTCATCTGCCAGCCATGCTTGCTTCACCTCAGTTTGTTCGGCAAGTACATTGATTAGTCTTCTGGTGTTGATAGAGAACCAGGGCATCGCGAGTGGATCTCCTTGCGTGGTTCCTTCACTTGATTTTAATTCCCCACCTATCACAAATAAGCGCGATGGCTGCCTGTATGTGTTTATTAAATACGTGGCAATCGTTGGGCACAGTACTTGTAAGTTGTTTAGAGCCACTGCTCTGTTCATGGAGTTGAAGGCATTTGAGGAGTCGATCATTATCACAGCTTCCGAGTTCTCTTCCTCGTAGAGTTCTTTCATAGCATGAATAGCAGCTTCTGCACCAGCTTCGAATCCGGCACATGTTTGCAGGTTTCCTGCGGCTTCCTTGATCGGGTCTTTGAATGCGTGGACAATACATTTCCCTAGAAGTCTACGGAGAACTTCCCCAAACCCGATTGGTCGCACTCCAGGGTTCTTATCAAGGGCTAAAAGACGACAAGACGTCAAAGGCGCAAATAATCCGGGGCAGTGGTGCATGGTGCACAATCTGAAGCACATCAAAGAGATTTCTTCTCTCAGCATTTTTCCGTCTTGGACATTATCTTTTGAACAAAGCATTCTCTTTAATACTTCAGCATCTAATCCCGATAGACCAGCGGATCCATTCAGTCTTCCTGCAGTTTTTGCTACCACATCTTCTTTGATGGACTTATATGCTACTTCGGGAATGGTTTCCTTTAGCCCAAAAAGAAGTGCTGTTCTGTCGGGAACTGCCATGGTTGGGTGCAACTGCTTCAGTTCCTTCTCAATCGTTTCTGTGAAGGGAAGGCAACCAACGCTCGGATCTTCTTCTAATAGCTTCAATGCGTTTTTGACTTTCCCCTGAAAAAGTAGTTTGGCAAAGCCACGATCTTGGTCTTTAGATGAGTTGTTGCGTTGCGTGGTTTTTAGTCGTTTTTGAATATAATAAACTTCATCCGCTAGACCCTTTATATCTCCGCGTTTCCACATTTCTGAGCGCCGAGAAAGTGCTTCAGTGTGATTTTTGCATTTGGAGGCCTGGAAGGGTTTCTGTAGCAGTAATCCGGGTAGCACTTTCATGGCCATGGAATTGTATTTTGAGTTTGAAGAATTAAACGGTTTCAGCCCGAACGTGACCTCCCTGATAAACAGCTTTCCAGCATTTCCTGAAGGGAGGTTAAATAGATTTCTTTTCATGAAAACAACTTTTTCATAAAAACTTTCAACTCCGGCGGCAAACTGGTTTAAATTTGTTTCGCCAAACTTATCGGCAGGAGGGAAACAGTTTGCTGAGACATCAATCTTAGGCAGGTCCACTAGTTCCTTCAGCTCGGTAGCTTTTTTCTGGTCGTCAATACCTTTCTCTTTAACTGTCATTTTTGTCATCATCTGTGATAAACCTGAAAATCCGTTAGAAGGCTGTTGATGACAACTAGTACAGAAAAATTGAGGGATGTTTGCGAGTTTTCTTTTCGTTGTTCTAGCACAGCTGATGTGAAACCAGTTATTGCACCCATCACACTGCACTCCACTGGAAGCTACGATTCCGCTGTGGGGACATTTGGCGTTGCCGCAAGGTGCTGTGTCTGGCATTTTCCCCCCAGACGCAAAAGGGCGTGTCCGTACAGGAACAACGCCCTCCGTAAGTTGTAGAGCCGAGGTCTGTACGCCAAACTGGGATCACTCGTCGCCGGATCACACCAGTTTTGTCCAGGGTTTGTCTAGTGGGGACAAACTTCTCTGCTTTTTCTCTGCTTTTACATCATGGGGTAAGCATCTGTCCGCATTTTAATAGCTGCTTATTATGTATGGGGGCAATTGGTAAATTTCAACAGCAAGCAGATAGACGGCTGCTAGGACTGTTGCGTTAAACACAGATTGGGCGATTTCGGGCACCAGTTTCCTTTTTAGCCTTTTCAACTTCAAGTGCTCCGTTTCTACGGATTTCTTTTTCTCTGCTTTCAATTCCAAGTGCTCCGCTTCCAAGGAATTCTTCTTGGATAGCGGGGTAATAGGGTTTCGAGTCAAGGTTCAATTCCACATCACTATATTAGGAGTCCAACTGTTGTTGCACTGAGCCATCATCATCTTGGGAAATCATATTCATTCACATATGAAACTATTTAATATGTTTATCACAACAATTAGGCTAAGATATGTGGGTGACATAGTTTTCTAAGATACGTGTTTTCTAAGATATGTGGGTGACTTAGTTAGAACTGTCAAGGGCGATCCTGGGTTAGTTCTCGAGGCTGCCAATAAGTTGCATCCAAACTTGCAGTTCACCATAGAAGAACTTGATAGTAACGGTAATATGGCCTTTTTGGATTTAAATGTCAACGTGGACTCAGGAAAAAAGTCACAAATTGGTGGTACCAAAAACCCACTGATACGGGCACCATTCTAAATTTCACAAGTTGCACACCTTTGCAGTTCAAAAAAAAACGTTTTTTGAAGGGAAGGTTCATTGGGTTTTCAGAAGAACCTCAACATGGAAAAATTTTGACATTGGAAATTCTCAGCATTGGAAAAAAATCGGAAATAATGTATTGAAAATCAATATCGGATAAATTGGTCGGACAGGGTAGTGTTTGAAACTCTTAACAAGATCATTGAGGGAAAGAACATTTTTGAGGTAAAGGTATCAGAACCGATAAATGACAAATGGTTAAAAGACTCACCCCCTTTTTACAATGCAATATCGAGGCAATCCATCTCAACTGTTAGCTGCAAAGGTTCGGCAAACATCCGGGGCACAATTAATTTTTACAACAAGAAAATTGAAAACATGCTTGCCATCTCTCAAAACTTCCATTGCTCGTGAACTGAGATCCAAAATGGTGGATAAGCTCTTATGTAGTGGATGTAACTCCACCTATGTCGGCCAGACAGTCCGACATTTAGCCACGAGGGTCGATGATCACCGCAAATGGGACTCCCCAGTAGGGCAGCACATGTTAGAGTGTAATAAGGAGGTAGGCGGTACTGCTGAGCTGAAGTCAGAGATTATAGATCAAACAGCCAACACTCATAAGCTACTCACACTAGAGGCTTTGCATATTTGAAGGGAGAGGCCTAGGATCAACACACGTGATAAATTCAGGAGCCGGGAAATAACACTAAAATTATAGTCTATGTATATCATGGCTAAAAGTTAAAAAACTGACATGTCTGAGTCAAAAAAATGCCCAAATCGAAATTTTATAACCATGAAAGAACAAAAAGCTAAAAAGAAATATCAGGAATTTACAGGAAAATGTTATTATTGATTACGTATATTTGTTATGTAATTACAGTTGTTTAAATTTGATTGGTCAAAAAGTTTTAAAGCATTTTTAGACATAATTCTCATTTTTCAGATCTTTGATCGTTTTGTAAATATTGTTAAAAATTTTAATCTTGTTGATGTACAAAATGTGCGAAAACGTTTGAATTAACATTGCAAATTTCTTATATCAGACTTGTTTTGAAGTTGATATTCAGTTGATAAATCGTGAAATAATTGTCTTAATAGTGGAAGCTTGACCGAAGACTGATAGTCTATTTTAAGTCTGTCAATCAATCATGGATCACATTTTACGTTGGTCTGTCCAAAGACTCATTTCATTTCTCACTTTTTATGCTAAAAGATTTGTCTGCTAAACGATCGGTCCGCAGCTGGGTTATACTGGTAATCCAAAACAACAACAATTAAAGTGTCTTTCTCTCTCCATAAATTAAATGTAAATGTTTTTTATTTTTTAGAATATATGGTGTGATAGCCAGAAAATGATCGCGGAGTGGATAACTTGCTTGGATAAAAGGTCCTTTGAAAGAACCGGAGAAGACTTAGATATAATTTATGCCCGCTTAAAGTCTGTTAAGGCGTTTGAGAAGGTGCATCCGGCACTGCTGCAGCAAATATGCCTGTTTGGATGTTACGAGGAGCTAGACGAAGGAGTCACTCGTTAGTACAATTTGCAGCTTGATTTAGTTTTTTCTCCAGGTGACTGGGTTGTTTCATTCAGTTAAATGCGCATCTATGCCGGTTTGTTCGAGCTGTGGCATAATTTGAACGATATTTGATTTTCATAGTGACGTGCCTACGCTAAGCGGGTTAGTGTGTAGGCTGTCAACTATATTTCAAGCAGAAGTTTTCAGAATAGCAGAATCGGTTATATTACACACCATAACAGCTTGGCACTTTTTCCAAACTATCAAGTTTCTTGGTGACTAAATTTTTTTCTTTTGCTAATGTGGCACATTGGTTGTGATTGAGCCACGCAATCAGATGATTGTTTTCAAATTCCACACGAGCACGCGCTGCAGTTTGCTATGTGAGCTCTTGTAAGATAGACATAACCTTGTTAATTTTAAACAATTGACCTCCGGTTAAGGCGCCTCTGGCTGGTTATTAAAAAATAAAAGACTTAACATGAATTTTACCTAATAATTGTCAACAGAAAATAATTTGAAAGTGTTCCCATGAATTAATTTGTGATGGGTAGTTCACGTCCATTTAGTGTACTGCCAAGGAGACATCGGGACTAACTGGTACACTGTATTGTCGGGAAGCCTTGATGTCAACGTTTCAAATACGGGTGACCCAAAGGTGAATTGTTTTTTTTTGTTTGAATTTAAACTGAGCATCTCAAACGGCAATTTTGTGGTTTAGGACGAAGTCACCATCTGCACTTTAGGAACAGGAACGGTATTTGGAGACTCGGTTCTGACGAACTCGCCAAGGAGAGCTACTGTAGTGACTAGTGAATACTCTGAATTGCTTCGAATATCGGCTCCCCACTTCAGAGAAATGTGGCAAAAACATCGTCAATATATGGGTGCTTTGATCACCGATTCTGAACTCCAGCTCTTGACGTCCGGAAACGTAGCGCCGGTCAATACGTTACATAGCGATGTGGCTGGAACTAGTAACTCGGTCTTCAACACTATGGGCATTACAGGTGGAAACTCTGGAATAGGAACCTCCGGATTGGCAGTAGGAAGTGACGCTAACTCTATGAACATGATGGGTTTCAATAATGACATGAATACACTTGGATTTCTAAATAGTGAGCAATTAGGCCTAAATGATCACAATCGAAATGCAACAGGCAACAACACATTCCATGGAATTGGTAGTCAGCAAAATACAAGTCAAAGTTTGGCAAGTGGACAATTCGGTTCTATGCCGAGAGATTTCAAAGCACTTGCTGGTCACAACAACCGTCCTTACTTACTACAAGACCATTCTTCTGAGGCTAGTGTTAATGAAACTAGGTTCTAAAACAGCATAAAAGTTTTTAAATTTGTGTCTGAAATCCAAAATGAGGTTTCGAGCTGCTCTTAATATTTTTGAAGAAATGTTTCACTTTGCTGTCGTTGTTTTTTTTGGTGTTTTTTTCTTAAACATTATTGTCCTTCAAGTGTTTTGCGGTTTGGCTTGATTTTTTTAGTATTTGCTTTTTAATTCATTCAACAGATGAAAAGGCATATCTCTCTCTCTCTTTCTCTCTCTCTCTCTCTCTCTCTCTCTCTCTCTCTCGCAAATGACAAAAATGCCAGTGGTGCAAAAATGCGATTGAGGCTTAATTTCAAAAATTGGGTTACTATTTCAAAATTTAGTGTTCTAAAAAATACCTCTAGCAAGTCATCGGAAATCGAGTTAGTTCATCAAAAAAGATGCATAAAAGGCTCGAACTTCCAAGCGAATCATGAGTTTGTTCAATTTGCTTTTCAGACTGTTTTTCGTTGTTTTAATTCAAGTAGCCAAAGGGCTATCTGGATATTAAACGGTTAATCAAGCATTCGCTTTAGGGAGCATACGTTGACATAAACATCATTGCAATGATTGCAAATCCCACTCTCATGATTGTTGAGCAAGCATCACTACACTACGCCATAATGCTGCAATTTTAGATGTCTACAAAACAGGGAAGTCAGCCATGGGAAGCTTGGACTAGTAGACCTAGTGAGAAAATTGCACAGGCTGGAAGAGTGCTCCGCATTCTCATGCTTTCCTCATCTGGACCAGGCATGATACCCGGACAACCATCACTGATCAGAGACAGAAAACTGGGAAACAGCACTTACAGGTATGTGTGCAGTTTTCTCAAAACGAGGACTGGAAAAAAGTACAGCGGATCTTTCTAAATTCTGCAGAAATAATTTCCACACTTTAATTTGACAATGGTCGGTAACTCAATTAAAGAATTTGAACAATTGTTTCTAGCAACTGGTTAACTTAAATTCCTTGTGCAAGTTCCCTTTCATTATTCTTGACAGGAAACAGAGTTCCAATCGTGAATGTTTATTGCTTCAGGCGATGCGCAATTGGATCGGAGATGGTAGAGTGGCTCATAGCCCAAAACAACCAAATCGTTCACAGTCGACATCAAGCTACAGGGATGTGGCAGGCACTCCTAGAAGAGGGGGTTCTGGTACATGTCAATCGAGACCGGGAGTTCAGAGATGATCCGAACTTGTACTACCGATTTCTGGAAGATGACATGCCTGGATTTGGAGGCACTATGGCCCAAGGTTCTATGGCTATAGGAGCAGTAGGAGGTGCACAATTGATGCAGCCTACGGTGCAAGATAAAAGGGATGCAGAGGAGTTCCTACCAGAGATTTTGACGTATTTGTCACAGACGGGGCCTGATGCTATTTTCAGATTGATTCTACGTAAACCGTGAGTATAATTGGCTTTTGATTTGCCTATCGTTGTTTGCAAGTTATTGTGATTATCGCTTTGTAATCGTTTGCTTCGATTATGCAAGCTATTGTGATTATTGCTTTGTAATCATTTGCTTCGATTATTCTTTAATTTCGATCAACTTTCAGGGGACACACAAGAAGCGCTGAAGAAGTAGAGATTCTCTATGATGAGCTGCTGCACATAAAAGCCTTGAGTCATCTCTCCACAATGGTGAAAAGAGAACTGGCTGGCGTGATAACTTTCGAGGCACATCCGAAAGCAGGTTTTTTAAGTGAGTAACTACCAACGTAATTATGGTTACACCAGCGAGCGTAATGTTATAGTATGAGTCTACTATTTTCCCATCTAAACTCGGAATTTAAAATGCTCATTTGGTGGCATTTTTGCTATAATCACGAATGTAACAAGCCGCAAAAGTTTTATTCAAGGTTTATTTTACCATTTCCGTTTTCAGTTTTTTTTATATATAAGCGGAGTGCAGTGTGATAGTAAACAAATTTTTTCCAACCTAAGTCGCAAATAAAAATGTTTTTATTGATCGCACAAAGGTGCTACTTTTGGTGGCTCTTTTGATTCAGGAAGCTGCATTGGCACAGTAATATCATTTTTTTTTGCGTTTGATTTGTAATGATTTAACTTAGTTCATGCTTTTTTTGTTTCATCAATTTGAAGCTAAAGAAGAAGCTATTTGTTTCACACAACAGAACAATAATAAAAACTCTTTTTCAATTTTTCAAACATTGTATTTCGCGAAATTAATACATGCATTTTTATACAAAGTTTGGCCTAACATTTTTACACTAGCCAGCTTGCGAGCGTTTTTACACTAGCCAGCTTGCAAGCGTTAGTGTATAAGTACGAACCTTTTTTTTCTAACCTAACTCGCTAATAAATTGTTCATTAAAAGTGTTTGGAAATTTTACTGTAGCATTGGAAATTGCGTAGCATCTGTTCTCTGCTTTATTTGTGATTAATTAAGCGTCCTTGGCTAAGTGGTTAGTGTACGAGACTCATAATCTTTAGGTTGCAGACTAATTCGAGACTCATTTCTACTAGTTCTTTTTGCCTTTTATAGAGCTGCTTTTTGTCCTGTTCTCGCTGGTGTCTGCGAAGCGCAGCTTTGCCTGTGTCCAATTTGTGTGGTTGCCTTAGGTTTATTTTGTTCCAATTTTTTACATGCAATGTTTAAGTTTTGTGCGATATAAAGCTCCTGAATCTTTTGTCGCTTTCTTAATTGTTTTCGAAGCTGCATCTCCGCTTGTGTTAGAGCTGATTTTTGTCGTTTACTCGCTTAAAATTGCGAAGTACAGTGTCGCCAATGTGTAAAAAAAAGATCCTTTACTGTATATCTAACGAGGCTGTCGTTTCTTTGCCGAATGCGAATTTATTGTTCCGACTTTCGATACGAAAGTAACGGAATATTTGTGCTCGGGGTGGGTTTTTTTTTCTTCAGACATTTTGACCAAATTGGGACAATTAACGCGCGATATAATTCGCGCTATTAACGCGTAAGCGGAGATTTAATCCGTCTTATAAATTGTTCCAAATTGGTTGAACGAAGCTTATTTGCCATAATTGATTTGTTACAAGGAACGAAATCTATCTTTCTGTACTTTATATGGCGTGTGGGGGGATGATTTTCATAAAAAATTTCAAATTTTAGAAAAAAAAATCATTTTATTTCATTTAATTTTTTAAATGTTTTTACTGCTGCTCCATAAACCTTAAAAGGCAGTCGGAACATTCAGTGCTTCGCCCTGATACGAGCAGTCTTGTTATCTTTGCAGTTAGCAAGGGTGCTGCAAGCGGGTACTAAACTTCTTTCTCATTGAAAACTTTGTTCACAGGAATCATATTCTGACACAGCGGAATCCCAACAGTCCGGGCTAAATGACGTTTTTGAGCGTGTCTGTATTTAAACGCCCGTTTCATTCAAAATTTATTTTTGTTGGTTTTGTATTTACCAAATTTGATATGTATAATTTCAGTTTTTATGCTTTAAAGGTTTCGGCATATATTTTTTGGGCTTAATCGCATCAAATTGCGCCATTTTAAGGGCGAAAAATGTTTCTTATCTGCGTAATTACTTCGGGAGAGGAGATTGGAAATTAGATTAATTTTTCTTTGGCTTAACGGTCGTCTGCGTAAATTTGGTTTAAATGCTAATTCAACACTCGCAATTGTTGTTCTCTTCCTGACTGCGAGAGAACGTTTTTAAAGTTTTAGTAGAACTAGATTTTTTTCAATTTCTGTATGCTAGCTTGCAATGATATGCCTTTAACATATGGAGAGTGGTGTGAAGCTAGCTACGTTTGGACTGTATTTTGAAATTTTCTAGGAAAAGTGTACATGTTTGAAAAAATTCTGCTCAGTAATTTGATAGTTTTCTCTCACGTCTTTAAATTGTCTATTTTCTGTAGGGTTATGTTGCAGCCCGATCGAGTTGATAAGAATTCTAGTTCATTAAATCCTTTAATTGGCTTGCAAATGTTTTTGTATTATGGTTTTTTGGTCTTACCAATTAGAGCTCCCGATATAAGTAAACTCTGTGTAGGAGGCATTATTGTTTTGATATTAGGCTAGGGGGCGATAATAGGAAAGAGTCATTTCTTAACTGTTTCAGCTAGCATTTTCATTTACCCACATATTAAGAGTAATAAACGTAGTGAGTACTCTTATATAGGTCTGGCTGATTTTTTTTTTCAGGAAAAAGTCGTAAAATTTGGTCACGCTTGATTTTTCACGGTTTGACTACTGATTTCTTTTTAAATTCAGTGCATTTACATTGTTTAAAGGAAGGCAAACTCCACTATTGAACAGCAAAAGTGTAAAGGCCACGAAAAACGTGATTGACTTCTAATTTCGAAAATGGAAAATACTTATCAGATTTCCCAGCGAAATAAAAGATTTACCTATTGATTCAGTTTTTTTCAAATTGGGTTAATTTAAACTAAAAAGTGTACATCATAAATTGTTCTACAAATTCAAAGAGCTTTGAGTCATCTACTTTTTTTGAAATTCAAAAGTTGAAGGTTTTTGAAAAAACAAGTCAGTTTTTTTTTTCAGTTTCCTTGCGTTCATTTGTTGTTTCATTAGTCAGTTGGCTATGTTTATTTATTCGAAAAAGAACCGATTCTCAAGTTGTCCTTGAAGTCCAAAGAGCTTAAAGGTCATTTTTCTTCAAAATTTGAAGAAAAAAAAAGATTTTCGAACAAAAAAAAAGTTTTTTTTGTCTCCTTGCGTTCATTACTCTTCAACTGTCAGTTGGCTGTCTTCTTAAGATCACTTCAAATATTTTTGAGAAATTTAAAGCAAAATACGATCTCCTTAAAAATTCGCAATTGATGCGAAAAAAAATTTTCCAAAATTTTTTTTTTCAAGTTTTACTTGCTTTATTATTATTTTATTATTGAATCTTAGGAACTTCCAGGCTCGTTCCCACTTGGCCTAGAGGTAGCGTGGTTGTCTTTACACCCTACGGTCTAGGGGTTGAGTCACGGCCTGGCCTTGTTTTTTAGCATCTCTCGTTTTTCTGCTCAGGTTTCGTTTGTCTGCTTAGTTGCCAAATCATGGATTTTTCTTTTGCTGTAAGCAGTTTTCATTGTAATTGCAAGTGTTGTTCATAGTAGTTTCAGGGGGAACTTAAAACTTTTTAAAAAATCAATTTTGTTTCGGCTCAACTGGTGTCTGCTCAAAGATCGTCTGCTTTCTTTCCGCTCCTTCAGGTTTGTTTCGTTGCTAAGCCTCGCTTCGCCTCTGTGTTAATTTATGCCTTGTCTCCTGGTGTTTATTTTTCTTGAATTATAGACCAGATTGTTAGGGAACATTTTTTCAAAAAGCAGCATACCTTTCCCTGATACGCTTGTCTATGTTTTTAAATGAACATCCAACCCATTCTTGTGGTTTCATTTCAGTGTTCAGGCAGGGTGACGAGGGTCGCAGTTGGTACATCATCCTGAGTGGAAGCGTAGATGTCGTTACTGACAGAGGCGGAGTGGTGTGTACTCTGCACGAGGGAGACGACTTCGGCAAACTGGCCCTGGTCAACACTGCACCGAGAGCAGCCTCAGTCATCGTGAAAGAGGACAACAGTCATTTCCTCAAAGTGGACAAAGAAGACTTCCTTCGTATTCTGCAGGATGTAGAGAAGAACACTGTCAGACTGAAAGGTTCGAAATATATGTTATTGGTCTATTTTCATTTTATTGAGATAGTCTATTGAAACTGCGACGTCCACCAACTCGGTTGATTCTTGAGTAAAAGCAACCAAGTACATTGCAAATGAATTGTGCTCATTAATTGAAGTGAAACTACCAAAAAGTGAATGGGTCAACAGCAGTTATCCATACAGGGCTGAACAGTTAGTGGTTTTTGTTCGTTGTCTCATAACAAATGGTCTTAACCAAAATAACATGCTTATCGTAGCCATGTCACCTGTTACATTTTAGAAGGCGAGCAGGACGTGCTTGTGTTGGAGAAGATAGCAGTTAAATTGCAACATCACAATGGAATAGTGTCGGCCACCATTGGCTCAGCAGCGTCGGCAGCCGCCACTGCCTCTGGGTCCAGTCTGGGAGGCATGCAGCAAGGTGGATCATCCAATCCTATCCAGTACAGATACAGCATCATGGCAGGTACCAGTGAGAAGATGCTGGACTACCTTCTGGAGACACGACTGGATGCTAATGCGGACTTAGTGGGAGGTAATATTACTACATGACTTGGATTAATAAAATGCGAAACTACGCTTTTAGGGCACTTTTACAATCGATTATTATTTTATAATATGCCAGTTCAAATTACAAAATTCCTGCTACTTTAAGGTCAAAATTAAATGTGGATATCTCGCTTCTTGACATTTGTAATTTTTAAATTTCGTGTTTAGACACCTTTCTGGAAGACTTCCTTTTGACATACCCGGTGTTTCTCAGCAACTCAAAACTGACCTCGATGCTCACCAGACATTACACAACCCTCCCCCTTCAGTCTGCCTCCTCTAGCGGACCCTCTCATGACTCAATGATGATGGGCAGGGGAGCAGCCGGAGGCACTGATCCGGCAGAAGGCATGTTCCAGAAGAAGCGCAAAGTGATCCACTTTGTGCTGAGATGGTGTGTGATGGCACTGCACGAGTTCACGGAGGATCCAAGTCTCATCTCGTTCCTCAATGTGAATATTCGTTTTTGCTTTAAAAATCGCAGTTTGATGAACAGGTACTTGACAGAAGTTTAAACGTCCATTTAGCATTTTTATTGTACCCTTGCGATAAGCAAGGGTTTTGCAATCGGGTACTAGGCTTTTCCCGTAAATAACTTTGTTCTCAGGAGGTATGGTAAATTTTATCTATGGCTTTCTTGCTCAATTTCTTGGAAATTCAAATATAACTACCATCAGTTAGGTAATTGGTGTAGCTACATCGATCTGAGCTTCGAGCTTGAATTAGAGAGGTTGTTGATGTTTGAAAGATCGAGAGAGAGAGAGAGAGAGAGAGAGAGAGAGAGAGAGAGGGAGTCTGTTCATTTCCCGTTTGTTAAGAGTAATGAACGTAGTGAAGACTTATATAAGTCTTGCTGATTTTTTTTTTCAGGAAATCTCTAATAACTACTGATGTGCATTCATGCATATTGATGAATTTATGAACTAACTTAGATATATATGCTTTTTTTGAGTTCAATTGAAATTCATCTGCTGAAAGTGACGTAAATAGCACTCTCTTAATACGAACGTGGAAATGGCGGGTAAAAAACGTGTACGAAAGTAGAATTCGAACGAAAGTAGAATTCGTGAACGAAAGTAGAATTCTAGTTTCGAAAGTAGAATTTAATTTTTAGATTTACAGCGGAATAAAAACTTTACCTATTGAACCAGTTTTCTCTAGTTGGGCTCATGTTATCAAAAAAGCGCCAATCATAAACTTTTGTAGAAATTCAAAGAGCTTGAAGGGTACCTATTTTTTTCTTTGAAATTCGAAAGTTGAGATTTTTCAAGAAAGTCAGTTTTTCTATGTTTACTTGCGTTCATTACTTTTTTTAAATTGCCATTTATTTTATCTGGTACGATTTTTTCACTTACTTTCTGAAGGATGTGCTTTATTTTGCTTTTAACATTTTTATTCTAATTGAAAGTTGCCTGTAATTTTACCAACTTGATCTGCAATTTTTTTTTCTTTTCATTTTTCAGCTTGATAGATTCCGGCCTATGTTATGTCAGCGTAATGGCCTCATATTGCCTCTGACGAGCGATTTTTTTTTATTTGTATGTTTTGAGGCTGAGTGGGACTTAATAACTCTCATTACTCTTAATTTTTTTTCGGTTTTTTTATTATTATTTTTTCCCGGCTCAGGTTTCGGCTTGTATTATATCGGCTTAGTGGTGTCATTTTGTTTCATAGATGAGCGAATGTTTGTATGTGTGTGTGTATTTGTGTGCGTGTGTTTTGAGGATGAGGGTTACCTAATAAGTTTTAAGTCTCAAGTCTTTTTGAATTTTTTTTCGGCTTAAAAGGTTTCTACCAAGGTGTTTTCGGCTTTGTTGCCGCTTGGTTAATTTTCTTCCGACGCTAGTTTGCGTTATTTTGTCTTGGCATGTTTTTGTTTCAAAATTAGCAATATTCAAATTCATAGATTTAGTTTTTTCGACACTTTCGATTTTTTTCGACTTAGCGACTTTCTTTTTTTGTATCCCTTGTGGTGCGAAGCTCAGCCTCGCCTCTGCGAAAAAATTGTCAAACACGGTTTTCTAGCTGAAATAAAAATTTCAACGCGATATCAGGTACCAAATAGTATGTCAATTGAATGTGATTTCAGGAATTGTGCAACAGCTGTGCGAATGATGTTAAAACATACCCCCTTCTGAAGAATGAACTACACGCATTGGAACAAGCTAAAGCTGGAAAGATTACTTACTACGACTACCGGAAACAAAATGTAAGTTCTTTACATTCGAAAAACGCGAGTATATGATGTTATTGTGTAACAGTTAATAATCAACTTTAAATTTTGTTCAATGCACGTATATTATTGAGATTCATTTTTGCAGAGAAGTTATGTAATGACTCAAGGTCGAAGAAGCGAGGAGCACCATCCTGAGAAAAGGAAATCAATTCGCGGACCCGATGAAAGTACGAACATACATATTGCATTTTTAGACGGCATCGAAAGTACTATCTACAAAGAAACAAATACGTTTTACCCTGAGATGAAAAATGTTTCGGCTGTTATAGATATCTTCAAAGTGTACTGCTTCGACCACACTTACACTACTCTGAGACTGCCAATGGACACTAAGGCGGAAGTTATTGCCACCCAGGCTGCCAGCAAACTGTGTCTTGAGGACGAGATGCTACTCTACGAGGTCAAATCCACTGGAGGTTAGTGTATGCGCTCATTAATAAAGCTCAACCTAAAATTATATTGTTTTAGCTTTATTATCGTGCTGCAATTTTTTGCTGAGCGTGTTGTTGTTGTACGCAGCGGCGAACCGAAGCTTACACAGCATTTCAAGCTAGCCGATGGGAAAAACGGATGCCAGTAAGTCGAAAAAAATATTTGAAAACATGTCAAAAAAAAACTACATCTAGAAAAATTTGAGGTAAACAAGTCGAAAAACGCAAAGCCCTGTGTTATTAGCATTGGTACAAAATGTACCAAGCGGCAACTAGGCATACATAACTTAAGTTGAAACCGTTAAAATCCTAGTCTTTAATCAAAAAAATAAAAACGGGAAGTTATTACCCTTGCGATAAGCAAGGGTATTGCAATCGGGTACTAGACTTCTCCGTAAATAATTTTGTTCACAGGAATCATCTGGACTCCTGGTGTTACCTTACTTAATAATGAATTCAAATTTTTAAGTCTCTTGCATGTTTAGCCTGTAGGTAACGATAACACCTGAATCGGCATAGGTCCTGGTTTCGAATCTGACCAGAACCTGTTTTTTTTTAAACGGTAATTATTCGATTTCAGAGAAAATTGTCGGCCTAAGTTGCCACATCTAAGAATCGTTCATTTTTTCTGTAAACGATTTTCTTTGTAGTTGCTTTTTAATGTTTTAGTATTTACACTTTGAGCAGCGAAGTGTATTAGTACAAACATTCTTTTTTTTTCTAACCTAACTCGCAAATGAAAGGGTTCATTAAAATTGTTCACTTCTTTGGTGGCTATTTTGTTATAATCACGATCTGTAGCATTGGAAATTTCATAGGATCTGTTCTCTGCTTTATTTGTAGCTAGTGTTTGTGATTTATTGAGCGTCCGTGGCTGAGTGATAAGTGCGTGAGACTCATTATCGCTAGGTCGAAGATCGAATCCGAGACGTAGCCGAATTTTAACTAATTCGAGGCTTATTTCTACTTTTTTATTGCACTTTGTAGAGTTACCTTTTGTCGTGTTCTCGCTAGCGTTGCGAAGCTTTGCCTCTGTGTTTAAAAATCCGGTCTAATCGAAATTCGATTTTAACATTGGTTAAAATTTTAGGAACTCGATTTGATTTGTTGATTTTTCATATTTTTTGGGCTTTGTTAAAGGGAAAGCAAACTCCACTATCCAACAGTGAAAGCTAGAAAGTCACGAAAAACTTGATCGACTTCGTTTCAAAAATTGCATTTAATTTTCTGATTTTACAGCGAAAAAACCTATTGATCCAGTTTTCTCGAATTGGATTAATTTTATCGAAAAAGCGTTATAAAAATTGGGTAATTTACCTGAGGAGAGTAGTACACCAATTGTTAGTAAGGGTAGTTTTAAGGGTTGAGTCAAAGGAGTTCCATGCAGTTGGGCATCAGTTGAGTAAGTACATGAAAAATAATACAATAGTAAATCAGGGATAAAACTAAGGTAAATATAATATCATAAATAGGGATATTATATTACATGGTACGGGGAATACTAAAAGGCGAACGTTAGAAAAGGGGAACTGTTAATAAGGGGGTTATTCAGAAAAGTTGATATTAATCCCGAGTTTTCGTATAAATTGAAACATTATTTTACCTGAAAGTTTGTCATTTCCTTGTAAGTCATGCTGTTTTTGAAAAGTTGAGAGAAACGAGTGAGTCAGCTTGGCTGTAATGTCAAAAGTCAAGTTGAGAGAAAGGTGACCTTAATTGTTTACAATTAACACCCGCCCACATTTGCAGAGCTTGCAAATAAAGTATTGAATAAAATAGTAAGGATACGGTAGAATACAAAGATAAGGGAACCAGTAGATAAGGGAACCAGAAATTGTTCTTTTTCATCTTCATCTTGGTTTGTCTATCGTTGAGCTGATTGTCTTAGTTGAATTGACGAGTCGTAGATTTGTTCATCTTTGTCGAGTTGATATGTTGAAGGCTGAGTTGCGTGATTATTTGGTTGGTTAGCTATTTGGAGCTTGGTTACTGCGAAACTGGGAAAACGCGGCTCAATTTGACCACAGGTCGAACTTTGAATCCAGTTGGCGTTTTCAGCTTCACTGAGCGGACTATTCCATCTTGTCCAGGAAAGGTTTCCACCACTTTAGCAAGAGGCCACAGTCCACGAGGTGTAAAATCCTCCAACATCCAGACCATGTCGTCGGGTTGCAAATTGGAAGTCGCAGAAGTCCACTTTGATCGTTTCTGCTGACCTGGTAAGTACTCTCGAAGAAAGCGATTCCAGAAGTGATCTGCGAGTAGTTGGGATGCTTTCCATGATTTTGACAGAGATAAATCCTTGTCCTTGAAGATACCAGGCGGTAAATTTGGAGTTCCACGACCAAGAAGGAAATGGTTGGGAGTGAGAGGCAGATCATCTTTGATGTCGTCAGACACATTGGTTAAAGGTCGTGAATTCATGGTTGATTCAATTTCGGTCGTGAAAGTAGCCAGTGTTTCATAGGAGAGTGTTCTTGATCCGATGACTTTGTACAGGGAAAGTTTAAATATCTGAACTAGTCGTTCCCAAGAACCACCAAAATGAGGGGCCGCAGGAGGGTTGAATTTCCATTCGAGTGATACGTCCAGCTGATTGATGCTTTCCACAAATTCTTTGTTCTTTTCCAAGTTGTCTAGACATTTCTTCAGCTCAGAATTGGAGCCCACAAAACTTGTCCCACAATCAGAAACCATTTTCGATGGTTTTCCTCGCCGGGCAAAAAAGCGTCTGATACAAAGAAGAGTGCTGTCTGTCGATAGTCCTAATGAGATTTCAAGATGCACAGCTCTGATCACTAAGCATGTGAACAGTAAAATATACGCTTGGTATTGTTTTCCTTGAAGGATGATGGGAAAAGGTCCAACGTAGTCCAATCCAGTCGTTGCAAAAGGAAAATGATTTTTTGATGGCAGTCGATCAATTGGAAGATCTGACATCTGAGGGTAGTCGACTTGTTGTTGCATTCTTCTGCAGGGTATACAACTGTGTATGATACTTTTCAGCATGACGCGGCAGCGAAGAATCCAGTAGTTTTCCTGTGCTATGGCAATTGCTTGTTCCTTTCCGCAGTGGGAATGTAGAACATGGATGTTAGCTAACAGCAGGCGAACATTGGGGTTTTCACCAGCGAGAATGATTGGATATCTAGCTGATAGCATGATAGGGGCACGCGTGAGACGTCCACGAGAACGCAGGATACTGAAGTTGTCCACAAACGGTGCTAATGTTCGAAGTCTACTTTTGCCTTCAATTGGTTTTTCTTTTTTGATGTCTGAAATTTCAGAGACAAAATCTGTCCTTTGGGCAGTTTTAATTATGAGAAAGTGCGATTTCGTTAGATGCAAGAGTTGAAGATCGACCTTCGACTGTTTGTTGATCTTCCGTTTGAGATTTTCTGCGAATAAGAAGCAGTATGCAACTGTCCGTATTAGTCTTTTCCAGTTGCTGAAGCGTTTGATGTCAAATATAGGCTCAAATTTAGACTCTAATGAAGTAACGAATACAGGAATGTTCTCAAGCCGAATGTTTTCCTGTGAAGGCCATTGAGAAGAATCGTTCAACAGAAATTCCGGTCCTAGTAGCCACCGACAGCTTGAGGTCATTGCTAAAGCAATGTATCCTCTGGTACCGTCGTCAGCAGGATTTAGCAGAGTTGGAACGTGAAACCACTGTTCAGGTTTAGAAACGTCTAAAATTTTCTGAAGCCGATTAGCGACGAAAATTTTGTGTCGTATTTCAGGTGTTCGCAGCCAATACAAAACAGTAGTACTGTCAGACCAGAAATAAGTTTTTTCAACTTTGAGGTCAATTTCCTCTGAAACAAAGAGCGATAGTTGGGCAGCATATACTGCAGCTTGCAACTCGAGATTGGGAATTGTAACACGTTTCATAGGAGCGACTCTTGTCTTTCCTATTATAAACTTCAAAGATGTGGAGCCGTCGCTGTAGACTATTCTTAGGTAGCAAACAGCAGCGAGAGCGAATTCTGATGCATCACAAAACGTGTGAAGCTGGATTGAAGCAGGGTTTTCTTTATCAAAGAAGTTCCTTTGGAATGAAACAGTTTCGAAATTTTCCATTTCGTCTACCCAAAGTTTGAAATCGGGAAGTTTATCCGTGTCTAATGGAGTATCCCACTTAACACCTTGTGACCAAACAGATTGGAGAACTTTTCGAATCCGAATTGTCAATGGAGCCACTATTCCGAGTGGGTCAAATAAAGAAGCGGTATACTTCAGGAGTTTCCGTTGTGTAGCAATGCCAATACGTAGAATTTTTACAAACTTTTTGTTATCGATGAAGTAGCAGTCAGTGTTGGTATTCCAGTGAACACCGAGAACTCGTTGATGTTTAGGCGTTGGATCATTAGGGCTGACTAAAATATTTGGATCAATTGAATCCAGGAATGGTTTACTGTTTGAGTTCCACTTATTCAAGTTGAACCCACCTCGAGATAAAGATCCTCGTAGTTGTGTCATTTGTTGGAGGGCTTCTTCTACCGTTGACGAAGTGACATACAAATCATCCATGTAGATATTCCGTTGAATGATTTCAGAAGCCAGAGGAAAGTCGTTTTTACTGTCTGATGCGCATCGTCGTACTGCGTAGCAAGCCACGTATGGTGAGTCTGTGGCACCGAAAATGTGTCGTGTATATTCGTGAGTTTCTAATTTACCATTTTCTTTCCAAAGGTATCTTAGAAAAGGTCTATCCTTTGGGCTGACTAGCACTTGCATAAACATAGCATCTATGTCAGCAGATATTGCTATTTTATTTTGTCGAAAGCGAATTATGAGACCTGTTAAGTTGCACAAAAGATCGGGCCCTTTGAGCAAACTCGAGTTGAGGGATTTACCCTGAAAAATGCTGGAAGCATTTGAGACTCGTCTAACTTTGTCTGGTTTGTTGACATTTGTCACTGGATGATGCGGCAAATACCAAGATTTGATTGCAGTGTCATGTTTTGCATCTATTTTGGTGA